GCATGCAAGAACTGGGGTATAGAGGTGAGAGGTGCGGGGAGGTGGGGGTGACAGGATTCACCAGAGAAGGAGTGGGGAGCGCAGCAGAAATACACCGCTGAGGGGAGCAGCAGGAAGACAGCAGAGGTCTGCCTCGCCATAGTGGTCACCTCCCTGGCTGGGGATCGAACTCATGCTGCAGTGGCTGTGGAGAGCTTCATAGAGGATAGAGGGATGTAGTGGAGTTATTTCGGAATTTACCAGTAGTTCCCAAAGATTGGAACCTGGAAATGTGCACCTTTCCCCGTTTCTGGACATGCATAGATTTTTCTATTGCAAAATGCTTCTCAGTTTACAGCCAAGAGCAAATTCTGCCATTTGGAGAAAAGAGGTAGGTTCAATTATGGGGTTCTGGAGAGGTTCTTGACCACCTGGACTGAGGAACCAAGGAGTCCTCTGTCTTAGGGAAAGTTGGGAGATAGGGGGAAAAGTTCCCACCACCATTCTAAGTGGCTTAGATTCTTAGTGTCCTAAAAATGTAAACTAATTACTTTAATCTCTTAAAGGCATCTTGCAGTCTTACCACTATACACTTATTAGAAAGACCGAGAACAAAACCTTACATTAGGAAGTGCTAGAAGTATGTGGAACAAGTGGAACTGTCTTAGACACTAGTGGAAATGCACAATGGCACAATCACTTTGGGAAGTAGTTTGGCCGTTTCTTGTAAACATATACCTACCAAATAATGTAGCAAATATGAGCAATAAAATCCTCCTTATTTACCTAAGAGATTCGCACATAAACTTATATACAGATATTGATAAGGGGGCAATTTATTATTACCCCAAACTGGAAATAACCCAAAGCGCCATTCCTCAGAGAATGGATACACAATCTGAAGATCATTTGTTAACGTGGTTGTCTGGAGGCTTCATAAACCCCTAGTCTTGATGACGTCAGAAGGCATATAAAGGGTCCCTTGTTAGCCCAAGGCCATCTGGGATTGCTTTGATCCCTGGGGCCCTAAAACCTACTGGGATATGTCCAGACACTCCTAAAAAATCTCTAACCATCCATTTCTTATAATCGATGGAGCGAGGAAAATGTACTTACTAGTACCTAGGGTTGCCTAGTCATGGCTGTGGGCAAACCACAGCCTTGCAACTGTTCCAGACAAATCCCTGTGATCACTGACCTGTGACTGCTCACCCATGAGCAAGACACTGGGCGAGTGTCTGTGCAGGACCCATGCACAGCACCATGGCAGCGTGGAGGCCCCCGGGAGGGTATGGCGTCTGGCTTCAGATAACCCCTTCCCCATTACATCTCTTTCCTCATCTGGCTGAGGGGATTGGTGGCTGTCCTGAGATTCCTCCTCATGCTTTTTGTGTCTCTCTGGCTTGTGCCTAAACTTTACCCGTCTTCTCGTTCCACATAGGCACCTTCCTCTGTGCAGCGCCTTTCCCTGGAAGAACATAGCTCTCCTGCTGCTCTTCTTGTTCTCTTTGGAACAGACTTCTGCATCGCTGGCCAAGAAAGTCAAACGTGGGTTCAGCTTTTCTGTAGGGGACATTCTTGGGAATGGAGGGTTAGGACTCAAGTTGGGTGAGGCCGCCTCTATTGCAGGGAGCTTCAGCAGAACTAGCCCTGCTCACCCAGTTAGGGTCCTTCAATTCTTCCCTCACCTGCTTCCAGAAAATTATTTCCCTAACTTTTGCTGCTTCTGTGTCTTTTCCAAGTTTACTTTGAAAAATTAACCAGGGAGAGCAGAGGATCAATGAGGAAGAGATTACTGTAGAGGTGGATGAGAGAGAGGGGAGGAGGTCGGATGCTGGCCCAAGGAGTGTGGTAGAGGGATCGAGGTGGGGTTTGAAGAGAGATGTAGGGGCCAGGACTGATCCAAATTTATGTCTGATAGTTTGCTTGGCCGCTAGGGAGGCTGATGGCAAACATCAAGATGGGAACAGAAAGGTGTTGGCGAGGCCTGGGGAGGGCTAGCTCAGGGTTAAGCATGCCACGGGAGGAGAGCTAACACCCTAAAGGGATGTGCATTTGGGTACTTCTTTCCTGCAGAGAAACCAGGAACATGCCCCAAAGAAAGGGTCCTCTGTAGGGCTGCTGTTCCAGACCTGTGCAGAAAAGATTCCGATTGCCAAGAATACTTCAAGTGCTGCTTTTTCAATTGTAGGAAGAGGTGCATGGATCCGTCCCAAGGTAGGGGCATCTATTCGAAGTGTTTTACTTATGCCCAGAAGTGAGTTAACAATTCCCTTGGGTAGCAGCCAATGGTGACAACGCCTGTGCTTTTCTTTTCTAAGTAGATACTCAACCTTCATTACAGCCAAAGTCTAGTCATGTCATTCATTCATTCATTCATTCATTCATTCATTCATTCATTCATTCATTCATTCATCCAACAAAGACCATTGAGAGTACATCTGTAGTTGAGTAAGTTGGTTCTATTACTTATTTCTATGAGGTAAAATGTTTACCACAGACAACCCGAGGCACCCCAGTAAGAAACTGTTAGAATTTATTAGAGGATTAAGGCTTTGGTTGGGTGTTCTGCGGGCGGCACTTGAGGAAGTGGGGATTACTCTAGCTTGGGTGTTGTCAGAATGTGGGAATAATTCTTTGGTTGAGAATTTCAGTGAAACTTAAGAGAGAGCAGGCTAGACTGAGGGGAAGCTTGTAGTCAGTAGAGGAGCATGAGTCACTCATAGATGTTTCATGTTTCACAGTGAATTTTGGGGGGTTTCACATGGTTTCAGATTTGATGTAAATTTGATGTAAATCTTGTTTATGTCCAATAGGGGAACAAGGGCTTGACTGTGAGCTCATATCAGTTTCCGGACACAGGAACTTTTTTTTTTCCCTTGGTATTTCATTCCTTCTGGGTGTCTGGTCCTTTTATAGACACTTTGGATACAGGTATTGGACAAGTCTTTCTCTCCCAAAGTTAGAGCAGTGTAGAAAAAAGATCAGTGCCAAAGCATCTCATACAGCCTCCACTACCTTCTTTGCAAGGTAGAAATCAAGCTTAGCAGTGTTGCACAGCAGAGTATCCATAGTAGAGCTAGGACTAGAAATTTTATGGAGTGAGTGTGGCTCCTTTTATTTTCAGCTGGCAATACCACAAATTATACAAGGGCCTGGCCCCTTTTCTTTTTCTTAGCTTTTATGTTCTTTCTTCTTTGCATTCTGCCCTCAGAACCCTGTATGCTACCCAGAGACTCAGGAAACTGTGACAGTAAGGAATTGCGCTGGTATTTTGACATTGAGACTCGGTCATGCAAGTTCTTTACATATGGGGGCTGCAACGGGAATGCCAACAACTTCTTCAGTCTGGAAGACTGTGAGAAGGCTTGCAAGTTGACGGGTGAGACCCTATTCTCTGCACTCTGAGCTCCTATTCTAGCCTAACCAGTAATAGTATTCCAGCACACTTGCAGGCTCAGACTGTCAGATTAAGCTACATTGGTTTGGGCCTCCCTGGTGGTGCAGGGGTAAAAGCCTCAGTGCTATCAACCTATTCCAGTTACTGGAGCATGAGTGTGGAGCTGACCCACATGGCGCAGCAGACCTCTCCTGTCTCACCTGCTGCTCCCCTCAGCAGTGTATTTCAGTAGATCCACCTGTTCTGCTCCCCACTCTGTCTCTGGGGAATCCTCTCACCCCCCATACCTCTGGCCTGTGCCCCAGCTCTTGTGTGCATAAATAAATACATTTTTTTAAAAAGAAGTCCTTAATCAAACCAGCTTTATTCCTATTTCTCCCCATCTTGTTTGAAGAAGTTTCTGAGTCACCCTTCATGTCTATCTTTCTCCATTAAGTTAGAAAACTAATTTAGTTCTACCTTGAAAAAAGATCTGGAATCTGACACTTCTTACAGTGTCCTTGAGCTCCCACCCACTTCTTACAGTGTCCTTGAGCTCCCACCCCGAACGCAGATGCATGTTCTCCCCTGGGTCACTCCAGCAGTTTCCTAACTGCCCCTGAGTTGTCCTTCCTCTACTGCAGCCCACTATCTACACGCTAATCACAACTGTCTTTTCAAAATGTGTGTCAGATCCTGCCACCCATTCGAAGTAAAACCACATGTCCTGCAGTGGCTTAACTGATTTGTGCAGATTCATGTAACTCCTCTCGTTTCATCAGGGGAAACCGGAGTCGCTCATTCAGGGACAGGACTGAGCCTTTACCTGCTGCTGGAAGCACCCAGCCTCACTCTCTGTCCACTACATCCTGCCTCTGGTGAGGCGCTTCACTCCACAGACCATTAGAGGTGGACAGTTAGAGTGAGCCAAGTCAGAAGAAAGAGATACTAGTTTGGAAGAGAAGGACAAGCTGCCTAAGAGTGGCAGGAGGTGCGGGCTTGGCAGGAACTCACGTCTGCTCTCGTCTCAGTCAAGGACGGCCAGTGCCCACTCTTCCCTCTGAAGGATCGCATGGTGTGTGCCTCTTCCTGTAGAAGTGACATCGAGTGCCCCAAAGATGAAAAGTGCTGTGAATCCATGTGTGGCTTTACTTGTGCCGGGTCCTGGATAGGTGAGCACTGGGCTACGTCTCACAAAGTCTACTGAGCCTTTGTTAAGGATGCTATGCTAGGGGCTGCACCAGTGGCTCAGGAGTTATGTGTCAGCATGAGTTCGATCCCCAGCCAGGGAGCTGACCCTCATGGCGCAGCGGACTTCTGTCTTGCCTGCTGCTCCCCTCAGCGTTGTATTTTAGTGGAATCTCTTCTTCTGCTTCCCACTCATTCCCTCTCACCGACCCCCACCTCTAGCCTACACCCCAGTTCTTGCATGCATAAATAAAAATAGATCTTTTTTTTTTTTAAAAAGGATTCCATGCTGTCCCATGGAATGAGGAGTGTCCCTGAGCTTGACATTAGTGGTCTCTTGGGGTCCTTTCCTTTCTAATGCCCAGCCAGTGTTCTCACATTGCCCTCCTGAGCTTGGCAGACTATTGTGCTTATCTTCAAATCCAATCATACAAGGTAGCACTCTCCATTTTTTTTTTAAGGTTTATTTGTGCATACAGAACTGGGGTACAGGCCAGAGGCTCAGGGGCAGCGAGAGGCTTCACCAGAGACAGCAGAGACAGAGTGGGGAACTGAACAGGCAGATCGACGAAGTCCACTGCTGAGGGGAGCAGCGGGTGGGTCAGGAGAGGTCTGCCGCGCCATGTGGTCACCTCCGGGGCAGGCGGGAATCGAACTGATGCGGAAATGGCTTTAGATTCTCAGTGCTGTGCTTTAACCCGCTGCGCCACCAGGGAGGGCCAGCACTTTCCATTTTTTTTACCCTGGAAACATATTCTGAGTCCCATTCTTCAGTGCCTACATGGAGACAATAACCATTAACTCCCTCCCCACAAATCAAAACCAATGATTATATTCCTAACAGTCCCTTATGTTTACACAGGACGCTAACGCCTGTACAACATATTCATGTCCTGTAAAATGTACTGGTGAAAGATTGGTCGCAAAGTGCTTTCAGGGTGTAAATCAGTGCAGGGTGTTGAGGTACTTCATAGAATGGCGGTGGAGATAGAGTTACAGCTTTTTCTACTGGCTTTCTGTGTGGCCATACGTAACTCATGTTCCCCATGTAGCGCGTGATTTCTATAATTCACAAAACAGGGTAGTTCTGAGTGCTCTCTAATATTCTTTCTACTCTGGTATTCTGGGGTTACGGAATCCCAATGAATTCTGTAGGAGCAGGAAGATTTATATATCAGATGTTATAAGTCAGGGATGATAAAACGTTAGAGGCTTCTCAAAGTCTTAATTCTAGGATATTGATAGTCTAGGCTGGCTCCTCTACTGTAGGTGGGAAGAAAACCCTCCCCAGGATTACATCCTCCCAAATATCCCAAACTATGGTCAAGGTCAGATGTACTGTTTTACCCCATGTAGTCAAAGATGGTCACTGCCCGCTGATGCCCATGGATTGTTTCAAGATTAATAAACCCACGTGTCTGAAGGATAATGATTGTCCATTGGCAGAGAAGTGCTGTTCGCGCTGCGGGCTGAAGTGCACTGACCCACATGAGAAAGAGTAAGTAGAAAATATTACCATCCGCCTAACTGAGTAGCCTAATAAGAAGCTGAGTTTTGTCTTATCTCCAAATTCCTTGCCAAATTGCTCTGTTAAGTATAACAATATTGATGGGATTACTGGTTTCATATCGAGTCTCATTATCTGAAAAGGGTCTTTTTTTTTCCAGTTTATGACAACATTTTTTTCTTCTTATAGTATTAGAACCTTCAGTGTTGGAGATAAAGGCAGTGACATTTATTGTCATCTAGTTCTTCATTTATGTTAGTTCTTCATTTTAAAGTCAATGTCTCTTCTATAGGAAATGCTATTTGTTGTTGGGTTTGGGATACATAGGTCTTATCCCACTTGGGTTGTTTCCTTTTTAATCACTTATTCCTGCCATTGGAAATTGCGGCTGAATTCTTATCACCAAACGTGTTGGGGGGAGTGGCGGGGTGGGTTTTCTGTTCTCTTTTACTTGCATTTATCTTCCCATTACACATTGCCATTAACTCAAATATATATGATGCATTCACCTAGATTCTTGCAATGTCAACTTTCTCATTCCAAACTTGATATAGTAAGCCATTACATAGAATCCAGGTGGTATAAGGTTTCTTACTGTCATCTAGGCACAATAGCTACAATTACATAGGCTACATCGATCCGTAAACCTGGAAAGTGCTGAAGCTGGAGATGAAGAGCACACTGGTGGTGGGTGATTCGCAAATGGGTCGTGGCTTTTCCTACGTGGATCCAAGAATGCTCTCCTGAAACAGAGTGAATTTTACCTTCAAATATCTTTTAAGCACCTCGTCATATAATGATACTTCTAGTTTGTTGGCATGATAACTCATATTATTAAACTTTTAAATGTTGACCCACCTTGCATTCCTGGAATGACCTTCCTTTCCTTAAGGGTATACTTGTAACGTTACATTATTGACTCGTAGAAAAAATTGTTTACATAGAATTCTCACATCTATAGTCAAAAGAAAAGTAGGTTTGTGGTTTTTGTTTTGCTATTTGAGTCATGCTAATCTCAAAACAAAACTAGCTTGGGAAGCTCACCTGTTTTTTTCAATATTTTCAAGTAATATATCAGTTCTCTGTTCTTTGAAGACTAGACAAAATTCAACAATGTCTGGGCAACAAGAAGTGTTCCTCTTCAATTGTAAAAAAGGGGTTTAAACCTTGGCCCGTGTAATATTCAGATTCTCAGAATAACCAGACCCTCTACCACATTGTCATCCTCTGCTCACCTGGGCGGGCACTGTCCAGGGTTTGTGGAGGGTTGGTCTTTGGGCAAGATGGCTGGAGTTGGGAGGCCCGAAATTCGGATTCATTACTGCCCCTGTCTGGGCTTCAGTTTCCCCAAAGATGGGTGCAGCAATAGGATTGAACCAGAGAGTCTTCTGGCTCCTTTGTTCTCCCAAGACTTTTTGAGTCCCCAGCGGCCACCACTGGCCCACCACAGAGCAGCCTTGTTTCGACAGGTGGGCAGGAAGCAGTGTGAATTCTTTAGCTTTTTGCTCCAGGATGACTGTCTCTCTGTCTACACAAGTCCAACCTAGGACCAGAAAATCTCCCTTGCCCATTCCAAACTAGAGGGTTTTCCTTTGCTGTGGCCGTGTTAACCCCTTGCCTGTCCTTCTGGGCTCTGAAAAGACACAGATTCTTTGTTCATTCACTTAACAAATATTTATTGAGTGTCTTTGGGACCCATAATAAGATTTAACCTGGCCCGTGTGTTCAGGGAGGTTGAGGAGGACTTCTCTGAGAAAGGAAAGCTGAAGGCGAGTTCCGAAGGCAAGGCAAGGCAATAGATGTCAGGGAAAGGGAGGTGGAAGGTTTTTCCAGGCACGGGGGGAGGGGAGAGCATGTGTAAAGACTCAGTGGTGGGGCCTAGGGAGTCCAGAGAGCAAGAGTAGAAACTTGGTACAAAGAATAAAGATCACGTGTGAGGATGTCCTAGGTCAAAACCACCAGAAACAAGTGGTGTCAGTGAGGGTGTAGAGGAAAATGAGCCCTCATACTCTTAGGTGGGAATGTAGACAGGGCCAGTCCTTATGGAAACCAGTAGGATGGTTTCGCAAAAATATTATAAGTACATCGATGACATGGCCCAGCAACTCCACTCCTAGGTATCTACATGCACAACGCCAAACCACCAATTCAAAGGGATAGACACATCCCTATGTTCATTACAGCACTTTGAATAATAGCCAAGTTATGGAAACAACCTGAGTGCACAATAAGAGGTGAGTGGATAAAGAAGTGATACCTGACTATGGTATACACAACTATTCACGGTATGCAAAAAAGATGCAACCTCCGGACCTCCCTCGTGGTGCAAGGGGTTAAGTCTCAGCACTATGAAGCTATCGCAGCCACTGCAGCATGAATTGGATCCCCGGCCAGCGAGGTGACCCCATGGCACAGCAGACCTCTCCTGTCTCGCCTGCTGCTCCCCTCAGCTATGTTCAGTTGATTCGCCTGTTCTGCTCCCCACTCTGTCTCTGGTGAACCCTCTCACCCCTCCCTGCCACACCTCTGGCCTGTGCTCCAGTTCTGTGTGTACAAATAACTAAATATTAAAAAAAAAATGATGTGACCTTGCCATTGGTAGCACATCCACAGCATGAGGGTCTCACACCAAGTGAAACATGCCAGGAAGAAAAAGACAAAACTGGGTAATTTTGCTCATATGTGGAATCTAGAGACACAAAACAGACAAAACTAACCCAAAAGAAACCCCTGCCTTGTCAGTGGCTTGAAGGGCTGGGGGCTCACTGGAGGATGTTGTCATGGAGTCCAGGTGGGTCTTGGCTGTGGCATGATGCGATCTGTGTCACCTCAGACACAGGCAGGTCTCCTGCAGGCAGTGTGCAGGGCTGGTTGATTGGAGGCGCCAAGGACAGAGGCAGGAAGGTCCCTCGGAGCCGCTCCCAGCAGCCCAGGGCATGAGGCGAGGAGGCTTAACAAAGACAGTGGCAGAGAAGTGAGTTCCAGGAGGTAAAAATCAATAGGACTGATGAACAGAGGAGTTCCCTCGTGGGGCTATTCTGCTGGGGCTTCTCCAGCCAAGTACCACACCGGGGCTGTAGCACCAGCGGTGACTGTCTCACAGTTTTGCAGGCTCCAAGTTCAAGACCAAGGTGTTGGTAGAGCTGGCTCTGTCTTAGTCTGTGAGGGAGAATGTTCCATGCCGAAGCCCTCACCCTGGCAGTGTGCTGGCTGTCTTAGATGACTTGTAGATGTCAGCCTTCCTCTTCACCTGGTGTCTCTCTGGGTGCATGTCTGTGTCCCAATGTGGCCTTTATTTATTAATTTTTAAAAAGATTTATTTGTTCATGCATACAGAACTGGCCATAGGTGCAGAGCGATGAGAGGATTCACCAGAGACAGAGTGGGGAGCACAGCAGGTAGATCTACTGAAATACACTGCTGAGGGGAGCAGCGGGCGGGACAGGAGAGGTCCACTGGGGCCTGTGGGTCAGCTCCAGGGCCAGGGATTGAACTTGTGTTGAAGCTGCGCCAGCTGGCTTGCAGGGCTGTGCCTTTAGCCCGTTGCAACACCAGGGAGACCTGTATCCTTTTATTTTTAATGGATCTTCGTGTATCTTTGTTCATTTTGGACAGTATTTGACGTCTCCCTTCTCGCATGGTCCCCGTAGTTGGCCCCCCACCATGGCTCCCTGGATCCATCATTATAGCCCCTCGTGCTTTTCCCTGCCCTGTTTTGACCCCCCTCCCTCCCCCTCCCTCAGGTCTATGGTCAGCTTGCAAGTCAAATGCATCTTCATGTCACTGCAACAGCCTTTTGCATTCGGGCGCCATCCTACTATTTTAACTGTTGCATCTGCTGTAACTCTATTTCCAAATAGGGTCCAGAATTTGCAGGGGAGAAGGGGACCAATTCAGCCCCAAACTGGTCTAAAGCTAACAGCAAGAAAAGGGGCTTGGTATCTAAAAATCTCCCTTTGGCCTTTCCTGTCTTGACTTGCCTGAACCTGTGATCCATATTCTCCTTTCTTTGCATGCTTGGGAGGGCAGAATGCCTTCGTCAACTGGCTCTTCCCTGTCTTAGCCACACAGGACAGATTTCCTCAGCTGCTATTTTCCTCCCGGCAGGGGGCGCTAGAAGCTGCACTTGAGGTGCAGAAGCTGATGGGGAGGCTGAGCCGAGGGGGCCTCTGCACCTCGGACAGCCGGGTGTGACAAGCAGAGGAGAAAGTCCTCTCCACGCTCCGGCCCCTCCCCGTCAGAGTCCTGCCCCCGGGGCTGGTGCCGCGGGAGCCACAGCGCCCCGCTGGCCTCTGGGACTCCGTGTTCCCGCAGGAGCGGGCGCTGGGCGCCTGGGGCACAGCCAGGCTCGGAAGAGCTGCGTAGCCCTTCCCGCTGGGGCCTTCCTAACATGCAGCTCCCGGGCCTTCTGTCTGTGCTGGCACCATTCTTCCTTCTGGGGGGCGTCTGGGACACTGGGCTGGTTGAGGGGTTCTTTCGCAGTAAGTATCGGGCCTCAGCGCCTAGCAGAATGGAGAAACGCAACTCTGTGGGGAGGAAGGAACAAAGAATTCTGCTATGAGGACGCTTTCTGCACCTCAGCCTGGGACGCTGGGGGTGGGGGTGGGGGTTTGGAGACATTCTCTTGACCCCCTTTCACCTGGTAAGCTGAGTGAGTGCAGGAACCCCGAGTGCCTCCCGCTGTCATGCTGGGAAGTTTTCTTCCTAGAGACCAGGAAGGGAGGAGAGAGTTGAGCAGGGAAGCCTGGAGGAGGTTGGGGGGGGGGGGAGAAGGGGGGGCTGTCCCGCAGGAAGAAGGGGCCACTCTCCATCACCTCCATCAGCTTCCAAATCTCCCCAAAAGTCTCCACACCCACAGGGGTTCCTTGCCTTGGGGGGTAGAGAATGGTTTCTGAAGCCCCCCTGGGTGGTGGTTTAGAAGACCCTGCAATTAGCCACCTCCATCCACTGAGTGCTGTGCAGTCACACGTGGGGTTCGAGTCCCGCCTCTACTCCTTACTGTGGCCTTGGGCGAGTATACACAACTCCCTTGTGCTTCAGAGTCCCCCATTCATAAGTTGTGAATATGGATAGAACTTGCTTATAGAACCTTAGTTTCACTGTAAGAGCTTTGTTAATATTAGTCATTATTATTATGCCCTCCACCCCACCCCCCCACATACACCAATTTTGTCACATTAAGCCTCTAAACAACCCTTTAGGTCAGTGAGGACATGAAGGTTCCTAGGTACTGCTGTCCTAAGAGCGGCACAGAATTTAAAGGTCCCGTCACTTAGCTTCAGAAATGCTCCCCAAGAATGTCTGAACCCTGGCAGCCTGGGGTACAGCACAGCCCTCAGGCTCCTCCCACAGAAACCTCATTGGGTGGTGGGTTAGGACTGTTTAGGGTGAGATTATGGGGACTATGTTATGGGGTGGGAAGTGGGGTCATAGTATGCAAATGCTGGGTGACCCTCAGGAAGGTCACCACCTTGGGGAGAGTGAGGGGAAAATGGACCTCCCTAACTCTGCAGGGGGTCCCCGGGCCTGGAAGGGGGAATCATCAGCCCCTTCAAAGTCCCTAATATATCTTTCCCTCTCTCAGGTCCGTGTCCCAAAATCCAAGTAAATTGCAAATATAAAGAAAGGAGCCAATGTCAAAAGAGCAGAGAGTGCCCGGGGAAGATGAAGTGTTGTGACTTTAACTGTGGAAAGAAATGTTTAAACCTCAGTCAAGGTAACTCCCAGTCCCTAAGGACCTCATGTCCTCATCCTCCACCCTGCTCCACCCACCTACTCCAGCCTTGTCAGGCTCTGCCTATGGATCACTAAGACTGATCTCTGACCACAAGCATGGGTACATCTTCACAGATACAAATCCTGTCAGTACCAAATTGAGGAGAGTATCTGGAAATACAGGTTTTATTTCATTTCTGCCCCTCTTTAAGTATGTGATAATTATATAGTTTTCCCCTTATGGACCTTAGTATCCTCATCTGCAAGAAAAAGAGACAAATGGTCTTTTGGTGACTCTTCTGTGATCTTCTGAGTTGCCAAGTAGCCACTGAATGCCCATCAGATGCCAACATAGCATGAGGTTAACTGTATACACTCTCACCTCTCTGCTCATATCACTGAGTTCTAAAAAAAACATCAGCACTAATCATCCACCCAACCACCCACCCATCCATCCATCCACAATCCATCCATCCACCCACTCACCCATCTATCTACCTACCCATCCATCCATTTGTCCATCCACTATCCATACATACATCTACCAACCCACCCACCCATCCATCCATCTACCCCATCCACCCACCCACCTATCCATCCATCCATCCATCCATCCAGTCTGCCCATCCGTCCATCCATTCGTCTGTGCTTCCATCCATCCATCCATCCAATCCATCCATCCATTCATCCAAATTCATTATTTTCCTTGACACTCATGATGGACTCCACTTGCTCACTGTAGCCAGGGAAACCTATGATTTAAGATCTGAAAGATGGTTAGAAGTTAGACAAAAATTGGAGGGAAGAGCTTTCCAGACACAAGCAACAGAATGGGCAAGGGCCCCGTGTAGGAAGACAGCAGGTTCAGGCCTAAGAAGGCCAGAGAACAGAGAGTGAGCGAGAACAGTAGGGATGAGAGAGGACGCTGGACTAGGCAGGGAAGGTTTCAAAAGGCAGGACAGGTCAAGGGCCTGGTCTTAATCCTAAAATCAATAGCCTGTGTACATTTAAGTCCTTACTATCTGTGTGACTAAGGGAGGTTGCTTACCCTCTCTGAGCCCTGGTTTACTCATCTTCAAGATGAGAACAGTAGAGGATCTTCCTCGTAAGATTACATGCTAGTATGTGACGCGCTAAGAACAGTGCCTGGCACGTTGATAAATGCTGTCTTTGTTTTGTGCTTCAGACTATGAGGCTCTCAGGAAGTCTACATGTACCTCCTGGTGCCGTGCACAAAACAGTTCAACACGTGCTTCTTTAAGTTCAGGATGCGTCTGACTTTTTACTGCCAGTTTTCCTGCAACATCTGCTCAGCGCCAGATTATCTGCTAGGACCTGAGCCGAGATGGCAGGAGATGAGCACACGTGCCAGTTTCGGGAGGAATCAGAAAAAGCGAAGACTGAATACACAGATGTGACCGAGGGGTGTGCAAAACAGGGGCAAGGCAAGGAGAGCACGATGGAGCTGGGAAAAACTGCAGGAGAGCTGATGCCAAGGAAGGATGTGAGGGATAAATAGAGATGCCCACAGTGGGCCCTCCCTGGCAGTGCGGTGGGCTCAAGCACAGCACTGTGAAGCTGGCGGTGGCCGCTTTGGTGGGTGTTCGATCCCCATCCCGGAGGTGACCCATATGGCGCGGCAGACCTCTCCTGTCTCCCCGCTGCTCCCCTCAGCAGTGGAGTTCAGTCGATTTGCCTGTTCTGCTCCCCACTCTGTCTCTGGTGAGGCCTCTCACCATCCCCGCAACTCTGGCCTGTACCCCAGTTCTGTATGCATAAATAAGTAAATCTTTAAAAAAAAAAAACTCACCATGGCCAAAATACAGAACAACCACTGATGGCTGAAACGATAAGGAGGTGGCATGTATACACTCAGCCACCAGTGAAGTCTCATCGTGTGCAAGGACATGACCTTCACGATATTAGCTAAGTGAAATAACCCCAACCCAGAGACAAATGCCATATGGCTGCATGTATCAAACGGACTGTGAAAAGCAAACAAACTAAACTAAAAAAACAAAACTAAACAAAAATCATAGAAAAAATGGTTGGTTTCCAGCCAGGTGGAGGGAGAATGAGGGGTGCCGAGGGTCAAGGAAGGAGAGCGTGAGACAGACAGCCCCCCGCTACGGTGTGCCACAGGTACTGAAAATTTGAAAGCCCCTGAGAAAGTAAATCTGAAAACAGATTTACCGGAGCCATCATGTCACAGTGAGCGCGAATGATGAATCATTGTGCCTTACACCTGGTGTAACGCTGTATGTCGGCGACACTCCATGAAGACAAACGCGTCAAGAGCACCGGGCCTCGCCCTCCTCCGGGCTTGCGTCGGAGCGGGAGTGCCCCCAGGGTGGCGGCACCCAGCGGCTGTTCCCTGCTGTCCCTGCAGACCTGTGCAGTTTGCCAGAGGCCGCTGGCCCCTGCCTGGCCTACATTCCACGCTGGTGGTACGATAAAGAAAAGGATGTCTGCTCTAGATTCATCTACGGTGGCTGCCAAGGAAACAGTAACAGCTTCCAGTCTGAAGCTATCTGCCAGGACATCTGCCAGAAAAGATGTAAGTACCAGGCACCGCAGCCTCCCGGGCACCGGGTCCCGCAGCCCCCCTGGCACCTCTGGGCTCACCGAGGTCCAGTGTTGGCCCGCAGGTTCCTGGAGACTGGCAGGGTCTGGGGCAGGTAGAACCAGTCCAATCCAGAGGTGAGAATGCACCTCACGGAGAAGTGCGGAGAGGAGGTGTCCTGAGAGAGGGTGCAAGGCGGCAGCTGTCCTCAGGCAGTGGGTAAGGAGGGGTGATGAGGGCTGCAGAGGGGGCGGCAGGTGGCGAAGCGGCTGAGACAAGTCAGGCGCGTCACACACCAGCCAGTCTTGACTTCGCTCCAAACCTCACTACCAGCTCTCTTCCTTTCCTTCCTTCTTTCTCTTTTTTTTTTTAAATATTCATTTATTTATGCATACAGAACTGGGGCATAGGCCAGAGGCGCAGGAGTGGTGAGAGGATTCCCCAGAGACAGAGTGGGGAGCAGAACAGGCAGATCGTGGACGCACACTGCTGTGGGGGGCAGTGGGCGGGTCAGGAGAGGTCTGCCGTGCTATGTGGTCACCTCCGGGGCTGGGATCGAACTCGTGTGCAGTGGCTGTGGAGAGCTTCACAGTGCTCTGCTTAGGCCTGTTGTGCCACCACCGAGGGCCCCTCCCCCTTCTCCTTTTTGAGGTGATGATAGTCACGACAACTCTGTACTTGACTGACGAAATGGAGACACTCTTGAGAGTGAAAGAGATGTCATTAGTGATGACACAGGACAGCAGGCACGAACTAGGGAGCTACTGGGAAGACCAAGCTGCTCTCTGAGCCCCAGTCACCTCGGCTCTACAACATGGGCCCACCTCCTTTCCCCATTACCTAGATTTGGTTGCTAAGGTGAATAGGGCTCAAATATCTCGCTCTTTCCTATCTTGTTTTGCAGAGTTGCTGGAATAAGGAGAACCGGTGCAACCTTGAGATCCAGTAAAAACTCCAGCGTGGGGACCTCGTCCAGGTGCTCCCCTCCACCCTCCGAGCTGGCTCCCACTGGCCCCGCCTCAGCCATGAAGACCTCACTGCTCCACCCCCTGGCTTTCTACTCCCTTTCCAGCTCAGCTTCTTCAAGCATGTTAAAGTTGCCCCCCTGCTCAGCGTGCGGCCTTATCTTTTCAACTTCCAGGGCCCCCACTTTTTTAGGAAGCCCGTTTCCCCCAATAAAGTGCTCTGTGAGGTCTGATGTCTCTGAGGCTGAGTATTTCTTTGTTTGTTTATATCTTTGTTAATTGAGGTAGTGTTCATTTTCAGCACTGTGTTCTAGGGGTGTAGCTTCACGTCTCTTCAAGTGTATTTCACCCCACCCCCCAAGGAGCTATAATCCCCCACCATAGCCCAGGGGGTCCCCTCCACCCTTGGCTCCTCACCCTCTCCTTCCCCCTCTGGTAGAGGCTGGATATTTTGCATTTGCTCCCTGTGTGCTGGTTTCAGTGAATAAGAGGTCACTGGGTCTCCTGGGGACCCTGACGACCCCATCTGTAAGACGACAGTGATGGACTAATGACAGCGAAGGAAAAAATCTGGCCTCTCAGGACCCTGCCAGACCTCATGGACACTGGAAGTGTGTCCACGTCCCTGGTGCCTCTCGACCCCTGACAGAGGCTGGCACTCATGAGTGCCTGGGGCCGTCACTCTGTCCCGGGGCCCATGGGGCGGTGAGGCCCGTGAAAGTGGCCAGAGTGTGCCCTGCAGGTGCTCCGCTCACCTGCTCAGAAACGAGCAAGGGCCCTTGTCCCATATGGTCTGGGTGGAAGGTGCGGGATCCATTTTCTTGTCTCAGTCACTCAAAACCAAGCTTCCTAGGCTCAGCGTTTCCAGGAAGGGCTCATCCTCCAGCTTGCCGTGGGGATTTCTCAATTTCAGTGGGGAAATTCTCACGGAGAATTTCCGGCTCCTCTGTTCTAGAAGTATTTCCTCCTTTATACTAACATCCCTATTCATATTCAGTTATTGAACATAAATAACATATAGAATGCGAACAATAATCCTCTGCTCAAACTTCCACTTGGGTTTTTGAAGACAAAAATTGACTTTTAAAGTGATCAGCCTTCTTTTTCTTATTTTGAACATGGGTTAGGTAAGGATAGAAATAAACTGTCTTGGTATGTATATATTTATGTTACACATGTTTGTGTTACCTGCAAGCTCATCTCTCGAAGTCCCTGCCCCCTAGTCTGTAAAACAAGAATGATAATAAGCTCTCTCGCTCAAGGACTTTTAAAAAAAGAGAATGTGATGAGACAAGGCAGAAAATTCTCTGATGTATAATTGACATTCAAGGAGTGTCTGTCTCTTTCCCTCTTTTGGAAAAGATAAAGGTTATATTAGGTTGGACTCTGAATAGGGAAACTTTTTTCAAAATTTCATTCCCGTTTACTTTTAAAAAAAATATTTATTTATTTATGCATACAAGAACTGGGGTACAAGAACTGTCTCACCAAAGACAGAGTGGGGAGCAGAACAGGTGGATCCACTAAAATACACTGCTGAGGGCAGCAGTGGGCTGGTCAGGAGAGGTCTGCTGCACCCTGTGGGTCAGCTTCCTGGCTGGGGATTGAACTCATGCTGCAGTTGGCTTCACAGTCTGCGACTTAACTCCTTGTACCACCAGGGAGGCCCCTCAGTGATTTTCCCCACTCCTATACCACCTGGGTCAATGGGTCTGAGAGACAGGTTAGTTCTTGCATACACCTTTGGTTGACACACAGGGTTAATAAGGGGCCTCTGATAAATAACATGGGCTAACGAACCAGTGAGAGTTTCCTGCTAGCTTCTCAAATATGCTACTAATAACTTTAATGTTAGCCTTCCAGCCTCTGGAACTATAGTAACCCTGCTACCCAAATCTGTGGAAGAGTCTAGTCACTGAGTCGTGGTGTACCCAGGACAGCCCAGCACAGAATGTCTGGTTTTGAAAGGTCAGTGCCTCTCCTTTCCACCCACAAGGCCTTTTCAGCCAAGTTACAGGTACATGGGGTACATTGCCCTCATTGGGGGGTCTGCGTCATGCTCCCAGAGCCGAAAATATTTGTATAACTTCAGAAAGTGTTGATACCCACAGCTCTCCTGCAGGGTTTCCTGGCCGAGGTTCTGTTGCCATCCGGGGCCAGATAAATCTCCATCGTGAGAATTATCCTGTGTGTTGTAGGATCTTTAGCAGCACCCTTTGCTGCTGCCAGTAGGGCTTTCCTCCAGAGGGGAGACAATCGAAAAGATATCTAGACATTGCCACGCATGACACAGAATTGCCCCTTCCCCAAATGAAAACTGCTTTTCTAAATGGTGTGTCAGTAAGTGGATGCCCGAGCCTGGTCGATTACCCTGTGCTAAGCTCCCAGTCAAGGCAACCCTGCGTGGTAAACACTAGCTGTCCAATCCCTGATTGTCTCTCTCTATCATTGTTTTGGTTTCTGTTGAACGGATTTGACCATCCACAGGGAAGTGAAACCAGGGAAAATGTTGACGGAGCCCCACAGCACAAGAGGAAATACGTCTAGGAGATGTTGAAATGCAGACTTCAGAGGGGCCTCTGAGGCGACAGGGTTAGAGGCAGAGGTGAAGGTCAGCAGTGAGGAGAGAGGACGCCAGTCTTCGTGTGGGTTGTGGTCTAGCGAAACACTGGCCAGGGATGACGCCAGGAGACTTAGGAGAGAGCTTCTGGGAATGTGCAAAGCCAGGTAACACTGGCTTTCTGTGGGGGCCCAAGTGAGGCCCCGATCCTGTTAGCACCTCATTTCCAAAAAGGCACAAGCCTGTGTGTGCAATTACACTGTATAAAACATGTACATTCATTTAAACACTCATTTAAACTTGTATCAACTCTGGGAATGACGCCACGCCGGCATAATTAATCTCAGTTTAGAGGTGGGAAGGCTGAGGCTTAGCGGGGTTCAAGTCCAAGGCTCACTAAATGACACATGCTGGCTTTGTGGTCCCAGAATTAGCCATCCAGGGAGTCCTGGGAAGGCGAAGGCCGGACCATCGCTGGCCCCTGTCTCTTTCCCTTCCACTGGGCTTCTGCCATTTCTATTTGAATATACTGAACTTTTTAAGTTACTGTTTTTGTCTGCTGGCCAGTGTGGGGTTCCCAGAACTCCCTGGGAACCCCCAGATAAAAGGGAGGCAGCACCTAAGATTTACTGGGTGCCCTGTGAGACCTCAGGAAGTGCTTGTTGAATGGATGAGTGACAGCAGAGCACAAAAGTGGCAAAGATCCAGGCCCCACTCCCGACTTGGAAACGCCAGCGCCCTTGTGACAATGGTCATGACAGCTTATTTTATTTTTTAATTACATTTTTTCTTAAAAATTACATCATTGTCGTCCCCATAGTTCTCCCACTGTGAACCTGGTCAAGGTATCCTTATCTACAAAATGGAGATTCTAAGTCTTGCGTGAAGCAGGTTAGGTTTGAGGGAGGTTCTGTGTGAAGTGTGTTTTCTGTGGTGCCCGGGAAGGTAAAGGCACTTAGCAACTGGTGTCTGATGTTTTATTGCAGTCAAAGGGGTTTGTACCCTGAGCTGTAGCAAAGTGAACTTGGGTAAAATCAGATCAGATAAAGCCAGGAGGAGAGCAGGTGCCTTCGCTGGACATTCTGTTCCAGGGAGCCAAACCTTGTGAATAACAGAAGTTAAGGGTGAGTGAGCTAGATGTATAGCCAGGTTCCTCCCCCTTGGTTTTCATTCTCCCTAAATACCAACCCAGATCAGGGCACTTACTAGGTGACACCATGCAGCTCCAGGTTTCTCTACTCTTGCTCCTCATACTGCACCAAGAGCTCCACTCTAAAGCAGCACCAGGTTAGTATGGACCGTGGGTGCTTCATGAGTAGCCTGGGAGTAGGGTCTAGCGGCAGCAAGAGTCCATTTATTGTCTAGGGAGTTAATTCACAGACTAAAGAAATAATCCCTGAAAGCATAGTCTGAGGGAGTCAATTCAATGTGTCAACTGTATTTTGGGTCACGGCTTTGGCGGACACTGTCCTGGGTGCTGCAGTTAATGCAAAAAAAGAAGACCGGGCCTCTGTGGAATTCCCATTCCAGGAAGAGAGAGACAAAGATGCATGACAGATAGGATGATAAACAGTAAATATGGTGGTCTGGAGTGGGCTGGTGGTGGGCAAGATGAAACTGAAAAGGGGAGAGAGAGCTCAAAGGTGAAAGTGAGGGACTTCAGCCAAGTCGGATGAAAGATGCTTTCCTGGGGCTTTTTTTTTTTTTCTCTGCTGAAGCTTAAAATCTGCAAACAGGCAATTGCTGGAAAGAATCTGGAAATGGGGAGATGAAATGTCTGCTCAAGATAATCTACTGGAAATGAGGATGGTTGGCTGGAGTTTCCAAGGCTTTTGAGCAGCCAGTAGAATTCCCTTTCAATATATTTCCTTTCTAATACATTCTTCTTTTGAAAAATACCTGTACCTTGTATAAAATTCAAACATATAAGGGGGAAGCTGAAGAATTGTAAAAATCTTATCTTCTAGAAATGATCACTGTTAACATGCTGGTGAGCAGCCTTGCTCTCTGCATGGAGGAACAGATTGTAGACTGTTACTGAGTAATGTAGGGTTAGAGGGGGAATGCTAACATTCCCCTAAGAGCCAGTAGCTGTCAGTTTGTCTCCTGGCCCTCTAGGGCAGCCTCAAGTGGGCATGACTGTCACAGTCTGTTTTAACAAGCCCTTGGAAACGTCAACCCGTGCATGGTTCATGGTTAGACTCCTGTTACAGGAGTGAAATGAAGTGGCCCACAGACCAGGCAGTGCTGGAGGCAGGAGTTAGGCCATGTCCTGGCCTCACCACGGACAGACCCCATGATCGGGGACATTACTTAGCGTGTCTGAGCTGCAGCATCTTCTTTAAAACAAGGTGAACATTCTTATCTACTTTATTGACCCGTTGGTTGGGGAAGCTCTGATGTCAAGTTCTCAGTGTATCTTAGCTCTCAGGGGTCTTGTCTTGGAACTAATGAGCCATGAAGATGGCAAGGCAAAATATTGGGGGTTGCAGCTAAGCTGTTCTTAGGAAGAGATTTATAGCCTGACATATGTCTACCAGGAAAAGGGAAAAACGCCAGTCTATTAGCTAAGCAGGCCTCCCGGCAAGATCCTAAAGACCAACAACAGAGTAAACCCCTCCAAAAAATAGCACAGAAATAAGAAAGAGCAAAAGAGAAAACAG